CATATATATATATAAATATATTTATGTATATAGAGAACTAATATTCACCACATCACCCTTGGTTATTTGAGATGGGGTTAAGGTCTTGGCTCTTCTATAAGCTCATCACCTATGCTACTAGATGTGCTCGACAGACGCCCCCAAGAATTCTAACTAGAGGTACATTGGCCTTCACTACTTCTGGCATTCTCTGACCTATGTGTGTACAGGCGCTGAGACGTAGACGAGATACATAACAGACAACTGTCCAGGAATATGCCAATTGCATAGCAATGACACGTCATCGACACCACTCGACGGATTTACCCCACAGGTCACTTACAAGGGCGCTATACAGAATCAGTACTGACCTCTGAAGCACACACACGCCACTTTGTTCAGGTGAAAAGCATCTGTAGTGGAATATCACGTTCACCCGACGGTGGGATCAGCAACGCACAGATCATATGTTCACCCTAATGTACAGATACACTCTGGGGTTCTGTAGCAGGCTTTCTCCATAGTGGACAAGTATCCAGGACAAATATCTATACCACGCTCAACCCCGAAGGTTGGATCAGCAACGCACGGAGCATATGTTCACCCTAATACACACACACTCTGGGGTTCTGTAGCAGGCTTTCTCCATAGTGGACAAATATCCAGGAATAAATTGACCTATACCACGTTCACCCCCGAGTGTGGGATCAGCAACGCACAGAGAATATGTTCAACCCAATGCACCCTACACTCTGGGGTTCTGTAGCAGGTTTTCTCGATAGTGGACAAGTATCCAGGATTAAATTGACCTATATCACGTTCACGCCCGAAGGTGGGATAAGCACCGCACAGAGCATATGTTCACACTAATGCACACATACACTCTGGGGCTCCGTACGCTACTTTCACCCGACGGTAATACCATGGGCGTCGCATATATCTGCTTTGCACAGGGCATGCGTTGGTCCTAAATCACACATATGCTCTGCTTCTGTAGCAGATAGTGACGTCTCTGAGCGAACAAGAAAGTTCGGTACATTCTGCTCTGAAGGGTGTGAGCATGTGTTGAGCAATTGTCCATCGCGTTGCTGTAGGCGGCAATGGTAGCAGGCGGTAGAGGCTTTTTGGTCTGTGTATGCTGTGGGTAGAGAATGGGCGGTGGAGTTGGTTGGTATGATACATAAAATAGTCCTTCTGCTATGGTATACACATGCGCGCGGGAGTCTTATTGCAAAGATGTATGTGTGATATTGACAAGCGGAATATGCGACAGTCAGTTTGCGCATCGAGATACTTGTATTGGTATAGGGAGAGATATACTATATGCAACCGGTTCACCATACAGGCTAGCATAGAATCATAAAATTGGTCACAGGACGCTACTGAGATGTGCTGGATAGGAAGGAATCCTATCGCTACCGCTGACGTTAAGTACTACAGCAACCTCTACGCGCGAACGAAGTTGGAGCTAAGTGTAACAATATAGGACAATGGGGATACAAAGAAGACAGGAGAATGGATGTGATTGTATATAGCTATATTATGCGACCTTTATATATATATATACATATACATATACATACGCACACACACACACACACACACACACATACATACATATGTAAGTATATGCACTCATTGATGTAGATGCATGTATCAGGACTTGTCATACGATTTGGCTTGGGAAAAGACGTAGTATACCATACACTGCACATAGCGACTGGCGTCATGGCGCTTAGTTCAGTGTATGTAAGTGAACAGACGGTACTTCACTGCCCTACCTGCAACATGGCTACTATCAAAACTGTAGTGCATGCTAGAGGGCTCCTCCAATAACTCATCAAAGACCTGGGAACGGAGCAGATGTGTGAGTGAGAAATGAAAACGAGAAAGGTACATTACGAGAGTGCTTGAGGCAAGCGACAACTTGGTTTGCCCTGTGTTACATTACACATAAACTAAGTTTATGAATATGAAATCATGTACATGTATACATTCATAGCGCAATGTAGCGATTGGGAGTTTAGTAGCGACTACGTTACGAGTTACTAGTGCAACCTTAAACTGAAGCATAAGGCAAGTATACGGGCTCGAACCTATTCTGCCAAAGCTTCTTTCGGTTTGCAAATCAAAACATAAATGATTTATATATTATACAATGTATATATATATATATATTAACAAACACACACACATATATATACATACATACAAACATACATACATACATACATACACACACATATATATAT